ACACACACACACACACACACACACATACATACATAAATAAATAAATAAAAAAGAGATTGAACCCAGAGCCTTTTTCCTAAGCTACATCCTCAGCCATTTTTTTTTTTTTTATTTTTTTACATTCTGAGACAGGGTCTTGCTGAGTTGTTAAATTGCTCAGGCGAGGATCAAACTTTTTTTTTTTTTGAGACAAGTCTGGCCTTGAGCTAGTGTGATCCTATTGTCTCAGCTTCCTGGATGCTAGAATTATAGGTGTGCACCTTGTCCAATTTTTTTTCTGTTTTTTTTTTTAAGTTTCTGGTTTTTGTTTCTTTTTGTATGTGTGGGGCGTTGGCTTGTCCTGATAAATCAGAAAACCTGGTGCTCTGTGCTCAGGGGCATGGAGGCAGTGGTCTGGAGGCCAGTGGTACTGACTGTTTCAGTTGTCCTGTTCTCTCCAGGTCCTCTGGGCATGGAGTCTGGGCCAACTTTTGTCAGTTTATGTACTGTGTCCAGCTCCATCACACTTGCATGTCCCACCCTTGACCTGTTCTGTGCCAGGCCTGGAACTGGACCAGACACAGCCTGAGCTAGAGAAATTCCCTAGCCAGTGGGGAGCCCATCCTCACCTCCTTTGAGGGGGTGTTATGCTCACCGGGTAGGGCTCTGTCCCTTCAGGTGTGGAGAACCGACGTCCAGTTTGCCAGGAAGCGCCTCCTGTGTCCCAGTGGTGAGTTCCTGGGCCAGGGAGGAGGCAAGGTCGGCCACTGAAGAGCAAGGCTCAGCTCCATGCTGCTTATTTCAGTCTCTCACAGACGCCTAGGGCTCTTGACCCTCGTGCTGCTGGGCCTCTCTATCTTCCTGGGCGTTGTTCTGGTCCTCACCTGTCGGCGGCGGCGGCTGCTGTCAGGTAAGCCCTCCTGAGAGTAGCCAAGGACTCAGACCCGCCCACTCCTCCAGGGGTCCTCCCTCTCTCCCCTGAGGCTGTCCGGTCTCCACCCTCCGAGGGGGTGGGCCTCAGCCCCTAGTGAGCAGGAATGGTGACGTAGTGCCAAGGATGTCGCCCGTAGTTTGTGCCTCGCTTGCCCAGCCTGGACCCCTGGCACCTTTAAATTTATTTATTTATTTATTTATTTATTTATTTATTTATTTATTTTGCGGAACCGGGGATTGAACTCCTACTCTTAAGCTTGCCAGGGAAGCACTTGTTCTACTGAACCATCTCCCCGACCCCTGGCACCTTTAATGAGCCCCAAGCACTGAACAATCACAGGCTGCTTTGGTACTATTCCCTCAGTGGCGATAGGGACAGGGAGGTGGAGAGAAGATGGCTGGGTTGCCCCTTCTCCCTCCGCCCTGCTCAGCCGGCGCTCCATCCTCAGGCCCGGCTCCATCCTCAGGCCTCGGCGGCGCGCAGCCAGTGCTGCTCCTGCACGCCGCAGACTCGGAGGCGCAGCGGCGCCTGGTGGGAGCGCTGGCCGAGCTGCTGCGGGCCGCGCTGGGCGGCGGGCGCGACGTGATCGTGGACCTGTGGGAGGGCACGCGCGTGGCGCAGGTGGGCCCGCTTCCCTGGCTCTGGGCTGCGCGGGCGCGCGTGGCCCGGGAACGCGGCATCGTGCTGCTGCTGTGGAGCCCTGTGGGCCGCAGCCTGACCAGTGAGTCGGACCCCCGCACCACGCCTCTGCGAGCCTTGCTCTGCGCGGCCCCGCGCCCTCTGCTGCTGCTGATTTACTTTAGCCGCCTCTGTGCCAAGGGTGACATCCCCCGATCCCTGCGCGCCCTGCCGCGCTACCGCCTGCTGCGAGACTGGCCGCACCTGCTGGGGGCGCTGGGCGCGCGACCTTGCCCGCTGGCTACCTGCGGGGGCCTCCCCGGGGCCGGGCACCTGCGGAGCCGCCTGGAGCTGTGCCGCCAACTGGAGCTCGAGGCCCAGCGACTGGAGCTCGAGGCCCAGCTCGCCCGTTGAGGCCCCGCAGAGCCCCGTCCTGTTCCCGCAGGCCTCTGGCCACCACCATAAAGGCGCTGGCTGGAGCTGCAGCGTGAGCCGTCTAACCGGAGTCCTGAGAACACTGGCTGAAAAGCCTTCCCCTGGCTTCCCGGCCCAAAAGGCCCGCCAGGCCCTGGTGTACAGCATCCTCAGGCCTGCTGCCTCCCGGATCTCTGTTCTGACCTGAGAGAGCTGTCTCCCCACGTCCTCTCCCCAGAGCTCCTGAAGGACAGCAGTCCCGGTGGAGAGGCCGGGCAGAGTTGGCACGGCAGCCCCTGGGGGCAAAACCGCCTTGGGGGCCAGTGTTCTGTCTTTCCAGACCCAAACCCTGCGCACACTGGAGAAAGAGGAAGGACTCACTAGGAAGAAGCTTTGGCCCCGGACAAAGGGGGCTGGGGGCAAAAGACAGATTTAATTTAGAAAGATAATAAAGGCAACCATGATGATAAAAGGAGGAGTAAGGTGTGTTTCTCTAGTGTGGCCCCCACACAGCACTGGTACGGGTCTGTGCAGGCTGCAGGGCGCCATTTATGTTGGCCTGTGAGCCCACATCCTCCCTTGTGCACCTGCCCCATGTCCTTACTCTCCCACAGACTGCCTGGGAAAGGCAAAAGAGGAGAGGCAATCTTGCTATTCCGAGAGAGAGAGAGAGAGAGAGAGAGAGAGAGAGAGAGAGAGAGAGAGAGAGAGAGAGAACAAAAAAAAACAGGCCTGGCTAGGCGGGTGTCCCTTGTCATTCACCCAGCTGTGGCAACATCGTAAGGAACCTCAGTCTGCCTGGCTCTGGGTCCTGCCCCCCCCCCCCCCACTGAGTTTAGGTCAGGCTGTGGTGAAAAGTTTATTTTCTGGCGCCATTTGACCCTGTCAATGAGGTCAGGAAAAGTGTGTATCCACTGCGAGTAAACCAGCTGGGCCCATGTGTGAGGGTCCCTTGGGAAGTGGAAATGTCCCGGGACTGGCCAGGCCCTGGGGTCCCCTCAGTGGGAGTCCTTCTTAGGGATTCTGGTGTAACAGCTCTCTTCCTCAGCTAGGAAGCTGCACTGCCCTCCCTGGGGCTCCTCCCAGCCAGGTGTCAGCAGCAGAGAAAAGACACCACTCCAGTCCCGGGCTACCGGCTCCCAAGCCTGGTATTGGAGGGAGGAAAAGGGCGGGGCGGGAACAGCCGCTGCCTGCTGGGAACCAAACCGAAAGCACTTGGCTGGAACTGGACCGGGAGTCAGCTCCACCAGTGGGAGTGGTCCAGCTCTTCCGCACCGGCACTGGGCCCTGAAGGCTGGAAGAAATTCTAGCCCCTTCTGCCCATAGGACCAGGGCTGAGTGAGGGCAGGTGGGAGCCCCCCCACCCGGGGGGGGGGGGGGAAGAAAGGGCCTCAGGCCTGGGTGCTGCCTGGCTCCTGGAAGATGCCTGTGTCCTGGTTCCTGCTGTCTCTGGCGCTGGGCCGAAACCCTGTGGTCATCTCTCTGGAGAGGACTGTGGGGCCCCGAGATGCTGCCCGCTGCTCTCCAGTGAGTTTGGGGCTTGGCAGGGGTCCTGGGGAGGGCTCAAGCTTCTGAGTGAGGCCCATCAGAACCTTGGTCTCATTTCTGCACTCCCATCACCACCAGAACTGCCCCAGCTGGTCTGTCTGGTGTAGAGCACAGAGTAAAGATAAAGCAGAGGAAGGGTGGGGGCGGATCTGTCTGCTTGGAGAGGAGGGTGGAAAAGCATGGAAAAGAGAGGCAGGTCTTGGGCAGAGGAAGATGTTTAAATTTGGGGGCACGGACTGACTATCCTTTTCTCCTTCCAGGGCCTCTCCTGCCAGCTTGGGGGTAGGTATTGCCGCTTTCATAGAAAAGAGAACTTCTGGGTTGTTGAAGGATGAGGAGCCGTTCTCACCCCAGGCCCACCCTGCCCACCTCAGCAGTCCAGAAACAGGCTCCTTGGCTGTCTAGGGTATCAGGTGTAACCACACTAGGCTGCAGACAGCTTCAGCTCCCTCCACCCTTCATCCATCCACAGTCGGCAACGACGTGCTCTGCCTCCCAGGGAGCATTGAGTCTGCCCCAGGCCCTGTGCTGGTGCCCACATACATGCAGACAGAGCTGGTGCTGCGGTGCCACCAGGAGACCAGCTGTGATCTCTGTGTGCGCGTGACCATCCGCTTGGCTGCACATGGTGAGTGAATCATCCTGTGACTGTACACGGGCGTGTGGCAGTGCATCAGGGCAGGCAAGAGCACTGGGGCGTCAGGTAGGCCGTACTGGGCACCCTCATCTGAGGGCAGTAGCCAGAGGACCTGCAGGCCAGTGGTGTCTGCAGGCCTGGCCCCTGCTTCCCAGTGCTGGGCTTTCTGGAAGGAAGCCAAGCTCTAACCCAGCCCACAGCAGGGCCTGACCTGGGTCTTGCTCCCTGGTTCTTTCAGGGCACTGGGAAGAGCCTAATGAGAAGTCAGAAGGAGCAGCTGAGCCAGAGCTCAAGGTGCCTAGAAATGGTGAGAGTACCACAGCCCTATTGCTGTGCACACAGCTGGCCCATGGCCACTGGCTCTAACCCCTGCCTGTTGCTTTCAGCCTCTCTCCAGGCCCAAGTTGTGCTCACCTTCCATACTTACTCCACTACTCGCTGCGTCCTGCTGGAGGTGCAAGTGCCTGCTGCCCAGGTGCTGCCCGGTCAGGCTGTGGTATGTGAAATCAACACTAAGCACCTTCTAGACATGAGGTCTACATCTCTGTCACTTCACATGCATTTGCTCTTTAACTTCTGGTTCTAATCACAGCAGGGTGCAACACCTTTGTTTTTCTATCTGTAAAATGGGACTTTGAATTAGTTCTCCTACATGTGTTTGACTTTGTGAGAAACCATCAAACAGTTTCAACTATTTTATGCTCCCTATAGCAGAGCAGTTTTAGTTGCTTCCCATCCTGATTAACACTTGGTATTATAATCTTAAAGTTTAGCCATTCCACGCTGTATAGAGTGGTACATTGCTCTGTGGGTTTGTTTGTTTGTTTGTTTGTTGTGGGGCTAGGGATGGATGAGGTCACTCTTTGCCTACCGGGTAAGTGCTGTACCTCTGAGTCAAACCCCAGTCCAAATCTTTTTTTTTTTTTTAATTTTATTTGTGTGTGTGTGTGTGTGTGTGTGTGTGTGTGTGTGTGGCCAGCTCAGCCCACCAGGGGATGGGGCTGGCTGGCATGTGATGCTGGGGGATTGAACCAAGGTCCCTGTCATTTGCTAAGCTTGTTCTAAGTAGGTGCTTTAGACCACTGAGCCATCTCACCAGCCCCACCAGCCCAAATCTTGATTCTGAGTTGTACATTCTTTATGATGGAGTCAAAGCACCTTTCCACGTGCTTACTACCTTTATGAAATATCTGGGGTTTTTTTTTGCTGTTGTTGTTGTTTGGAGGGTTTCTGCGGAACCGAGGATTGAACTCAGGCCCTTACACTTGCCAGGCAAGCGCTTATTGTACTGAGCCATCTCCCCGGCCCACTTGAGCCATCTCCCTGGCCCCCTGTTAAATTTTTTTGACCACTTGGAAAAAAAAAAAAAAAAGTCAACCTCAATCTCCCTGACAGATGCCAGAGGGAAGAGGCTAGGCACATTTTTATGGTCCCTTCCAGCCTTCTAGAGCTCTGGTAGCTGCCACTGTTTTTATGGGAGAAGTTCTCTATGCTGGTGGTACAGTACGTCTACCATAGCATATTTTAGCTCAGTGGTAGCGCACCCCTGGGTTGAATCCCCAGTGGCACAAAAGAAACAAATCTTTTTCTTTTTGTTTCTTTTGATGGGTAAGCTGTCCTTCTTCACTCAGTAGACATTGCTTTACTACTCCTGTCTGTAAAACATCAGTGAAATGCCCTTTCCTTCTTCACTCAGTAGACATTGCTTTACTACTCCTGTCTGTAAAACACTCAGTGAAATGCCCATCACTGAAGGGCCTCAATAAATTTAGTTTCTTCTTTCTTTTGTTATCCAGGAAATGACCCCCCTCCATGGACTATGCATTATTATTACCCTCCTTTTCCAGATAGTGAAACTGAGGCTTGGGGGGACAGTGAGGTTGTCAGACTAAAAAGACAAATCCGGCCCAGCCAGATAGCTCAGCGGATTCAAGCACCTGCTTAGGCAGATGAAGGGACCAGGGTTCGATCCCCGGTGTGCTATGCCAGCCCCAACCCTGGGGCACGCTGAGATGGCAACTGAGATGGCATGGTGGCACACACCTGTAATCCCAGTGATTGGGAGGCTGAAAACAGAAGGATCTCTACAAGTCCAGTCTGTGTAGTGAGACCCTGTAGACCCTGTACTAAATACATACCAAAAAAAAGACAAATCCCCCACACCATGGTGTAGACCTGGGTGCCGGGAGGCCTATGCACTAAGAAGTTCTGGCTTCCCTGGGGCTGGGTAACACAGGACCTTTGATGTCCCCTCCAGACCCTGCTGTATACCAAGCTAGCCAGCTATCCCCTGGAAGAACAGCTCAGCCTTCTCACAAGGCAGTCCTCAGGACCACTGAGGCACTGGGGTGGGACCGATCTGCAGGGAGGAGCTCCTGCATTTGTGTTGGGGTGTTTCATCAGCTTGGTCTTGGCCAGGGCACCTTAAACTGCAGGCTTGGGGCAAGGACACAGATACCCTTATAAAGGATGGTCACTGTGGACATGGGACATGAGAGGGACTTGAGTGGTGTAATCACAGGCCACCCAGTATGAAGATGGTCATGGGGGGTTGGGAGAATGAACAGAGTGGTTTCTGCAGAGGAGCCCATGCGCTGGCCGAATGCTGAGGCTCACTCTACCACCCTCTGTCTCCTTAGGGTTCTCTAGTGTTTGATTGCTTTGAGGCTGCTCTGGGGGCTGAGGTTCGAATCTGGGCCTATACTCAGCCTAGGTACCAGAAGGAACTCAACCTCACACAGCAGCTGCCTGGTAAGTGCCCCCGAGCTTCTGTTGACCCTAGTCTCTGTCCCTCTGCCCTTCCCTCCCACTTTCACCCAATTCTATCCTGTCTACTTCTCGGGGGCTGAGCTGCCCTGTTCCAGGCTAGTCCCTTGGGCCTCCTCTCCCTGGGTGACAGATGACTTGGCTTCCCCAGCCCAAGGTATTTTGTGACTGAATAGATGTGGGTGGACTCGGGAAAAAGGACCTTTATGCATTGGTTTCCTCCTCTTTCTTTGGTGCCCAGGCCCACTGGAGGCATTTCTGTGATCTCTCCCCAGACTGCAGGGGGCTCGAAGTCCGGGACAGCATCCAGAGCTGCTGGGGTAGGAGCTAGGGCCAGTGGGCTGAGGGGAGGGAGGGCAGGTCTTAATTTAGGGTTAGGGTTAGGACAGAATTAGCCTCAGATCTGGGCAGCTACACCTCAGAAGCTCACAGAGCACGTCCATCCATCCATCCATCCATCCTTCATTTGTCCATTTATTCATAATACATAAAGTGCCGGGAGGCACTATTCTATGGCTGGCACTGGAAATAAAAAGTGAATCTCCGGGGCTGGAGAGATGGCTCAGTGGTCTAAAGCACCTACTTGGAACAAGCTTGGCAAAGCATCAGGGACCTCGGTTCCATCCCCCAGCACCACATGCCAGCCAGCCCTGCCCCCTGGTGGGCTGAGCTGGCCACGCACATACACACAAATAAAATTAAAAAAAAAAAAAAAAAAAGTGAATCTCTACTTATAACAAGTATTTATTTATACCAAGGACATAGAGGTCAAATCACCCTCAACATTATGGTGCCCTTTTTATCCATCAAAATAAAGTTAAACCTAAAAATAGATAGATAGATAGATAGATAGATAGATAGATAGATAGATAGATAAAGTTAAATCTAAAACACAGGCTAAGAAAGTCAAAGTTTTGGTTTTTCTCCTATGCACTATCTGGATTCTACTTTTGTTTTTTTATTTATTCCATGTGTATAACATGCATGCAAAAAGCATGAGTATATTGACTTTGTATCTGGTTAAGTTGTTTTATACATATGTATACATGTATCATTGATACCAAAGTACAAACACTGACTACTTAAAAACTATTAATTTCTTTCAGTTCCATTTTCTTTTCGGTCTAAGTTAAGTTTGGCCTGCCCTCTATCAACCCACTAAAATATCACTCAGAGACCAGCATGCTAGTACAAGCCTATGATCCTGGCACTGGTATCCTGCAGCAGAAGAATAAAAATTTGAGTTCAACCTGGACAATTTAGCAAGACCCTATCTCAACATAAAAAAGGCTGGGAATATAGCCCTGTACAAGAGAAGGAGGAGGAGGAGGAGGAGGAGGAGGAGGAGGAGGAGGAGGAAGAAGAGGAGGAGGGAGAGGGGTAGAGAAGAAGGAGGAGGGAAAGGAAGAAAAAAAGGACTATTAAGAGTTTTCTTTTGTTTGGTTTTTGATGTTTGGTGTTTTTTGAGACAAGATATCACTGTATAGTTCAGGTTACCTCTGATTTTTTTTTGTTTGTTTGTTTTGTTTTTTGAGGGTTTTTTTGTTTTGTTTTGTTTTTCTTTTTGGCGGAACCGGGGATTGAATTCAGGCCCTTGCGCTTGCCAGGGAAGCGCTTATTCCACTGAGCCATCTCCCCGGCTCTTAGGTTACCTCTGAACTCACTGTGTAGCCCAGGCTCATCTCAAATTTGTGGCAGTCCTCCTGCCACAGACTCCCGAGTGCTGGGATTACAGGCTTGCGCCAGCACACCTGGCAGCACCAGAGCTTTATTATTATTATTATTTTGTATTTTAGGGAAGGGTCTACAGAGTATTCAGGGTCTCACTACTAGATTGGACTCATAGTGATCTGCCTGTGTACAGCCTCCCAAGAGCTGGGATTACAGGCGTGCCACCATGCCCCGTCTCAACTGCCATCTCAGGAGCTGGGGAGATGGATCACTAGAATAAGTGCTTCCCTGGCAAGTGCAAGGGGCTGAGTTCAATCCTCGGTTCCTCAAAAAAAATCACTTGCCATCTCAGTGTGCCCTGGGGGTGGGGCCAGCACTGCAGGCCCAGGGATCAAACCTCTGGCCCCTGCGCCTGCTTGCAGGCACTTTAATCTGCTGAGTTATTTGACCGGCCCCAGAGCTTTAAATCACAGATACACACATGTATCTCATTTCTTCCTTCACTCAGTAAACACTGCTGTACTTATTCAACAGATATGTACTGAGAAATTACACTGCATCATAGCCCACGCACTGAACTGAATGGATAAACAAAACTGACAAGACTGTCCTCACGGAGCTGGGAGTCAGGTCAGGGTTAGGCTGATAGGTGCACGGAGATGTGACATGTACAGTAAATTGGATGGTGATTAGCAATGCAGAGAAAAAACTAAGGGAGAGGGATGGCACGGTTGCACATTGCAGCCACGGGGCAGCCTCCTCCTGAGAGAGAAGCTGTGTGAGTAGGAGGGAGAAGGGGTCCCCGCGGAGAGCAGAGTCTCCACGGAAGTCCTGGGGTGGGAATGTGACAGGTCCTAGTGGAGCGGTAATTAGTAAGAGTCACTGATTACTAAGAGTCATTAAGAGTTCACGGAGATGAAGGTTATGGAAAGGGCGTAGTGCTAGGTTGGGTAAGGCCTTGCAAGCTGTTGTAAGGACATAAGCTTTTACTGGGAGGACATGGTAAGAGAGTTCTGAGAAACAGAGTGACTTGTCTTACTAACTGCCAGCTGCAAAGGAGACCAGGGAGAAGAGCGATCTCAAACCGAATGCTTGGAGCTCTGTGGACCTGGCTCTCCAGTGGCTAGGACAGTCTTGTCTGGGTGGGGACATAGCTTCGGCCCTGAAGGGCCCCTAGTCTACAGGTGTGAGGGGAGTCTGTGAGCACAGCCCAGGCTGTGTGTATAGAAGAGGTGATGGGTAAGCTGTCTGCTCTCTGTGCTTCCCCCACCAGTCCTGCCCTGGCTCAGTGTGGCTGCAGATGGCGACAATGTTCGGCTGGTGCTCAACGTCTCCGAGGAGCAGCATTTTGGCCTCTTACTGTACTGGAGTCAGGCCCAGGGTGCCCTAAAACCCTGGTGGCACAGAAACCTGGTGAGGCTGCTCCCTCTTGCCCCCAGGTCCATTTGTATTTTAGGCTGATCTGCGCTCTAGGATCAACAGATCCTTGAAGGGTGCATACCTGGGACAAGGGAACCCTGCTGGGGGCCTCCACCTGCCCATTTCCTCTGCCTCCCCTCCTTCCTCTCCCTTATCTTCAACACCCCTCTCTTGCTTGTTCCACAGACTGGGCCACAGACCATTATCTTGAACCACACAGACCTAGTTCCCTGCCTCTGTATTCAGGTAGGAGCAGTGTACTGCTGGGAACCAGGGGAAGAGGACAGGAGGGTGGCAAGGGTTGGCCTCCCCGTGCTCCAGTCCTCTGTACTCTTGCCTGCCAGGAGTGGCTGGTATCATGTTTGCTCTTGCCGTTTGCTGCACCACGTCTCCAAGCTTATTTCTTATCTGCAAACTAGGAATAGGATGGCCCAGCCTCCCAGGGCTTCTGTGAGGAAGTGTGCCCCAGCCAGGCTTAAAAGTGCTGCTGTTTCCTCTCCTTTTGCAAGCTTGCTTGGTCACCAGGACCTGCCGCTGACCTCTAACATTAATGGCTCTCGGTCTCTCTCCCTCCTCTCCACCGGGGCCACTGTTACCTCTCCTTTATTCTTTTCCATAACCTCTGGCCCCACATCCCTTCCCATCATTTCCCTGATCTTTTGGGCCCCATCTGAACCTTTCCTACTCTCTTCTCTCCAAGATGTTCCCTTTGGGGATGATATTCTACCTGAGGGACCTGCCCATGAGGGCACATCCACTGCTCTGCCTCGGGCAGTTTTGCATAGGCAATTCCCACTCCCTGAAACATCCTCACCCCCTTTCCAATCAACCAGCACCTTCCAGCTCCAGGCTGCCTCTTTCCAAAGCATCCCCTTCAGCTGTCTTCCCCTACTCTCCCTTGCATTTGCATGTCTCCCTTGTTCTTTCCTTCTGTCCATCCTTGCTCATGTTCCTTTCATATTCAGACATCTAATTCTTTTTTCTCCCTGCCCTTCCTTTTCTCCTCCTCTACACTGAAGATTAAACCCAGGGCTCCTCCTACTGAGCTGTATCTTCATCCCAGGCAGGCTCTTTAAATGTTTATTTTTTATTTTGACATAGGGTCTCACTAAATGGTTAAGTTGCCCAGGCTAGGATTGCACCTGTGATCCTTCTGACTCAGCTTCTCAAGTGCTAGATTACAGCTCTAAAAAGTCTATTGTTGGGCCAGCGAGATACTCAGTGGACTAAGCACATGCTTAGGCAAGTGCAGGGACTTGGGGATTGATCACTGGCACCACATGCTCTGCCAGCTCTGCCCCGATGTACTGAGCCAGCCACCGAGACTGGGTGTGGCAGTGCACACCTGTAATCCCAGTGCTGGGGAGGCTGAAGACAGGATCACCAAGACTCAGAGCTGCATAGTGAGACCCTGGACCAAATATATTTTTTTTAAAAAGTTTGTTGTGGTGGTATAGACCTGTATTTCAGCAGTCTGGGAGGATCAAAACTTTGAGCTCAGCTTACATAATTTAAAAACTAAAAGAGGAATAGCTCTGTGGCACAAGCACCTGCCTGGCAAGTACAGAGTTCAATCTCTGGTTGCAAAAAGAAAAGGAAAAAAAAAAAAAACACAAAAAAAACTAAAGGAATTTTTTTTTTGAACTGGGGATTGAACTCAGGCCCTTGCGCTTGCCAGGGAAACACTTATTCTACTGAGCTATCTCCCCAGCCCAGGAAAAAAATTTAAAAACATTTCATTTTGATGTAGCCCATGTGATGGTCCTGAGTTCAAACTCTAGTATGAGACACACACACACACACACACACACACACACACACACACACACACAAAGTATGTTGAAAGAATAAATGAATGGAAGGACCGGGAATATAGCTCAGTGGCATAAGTGCCTGCCTGGCAAGCACAAGGTCCTGAGTTCGATCCCTGGTACCGCTAAAAAAACAAAACAAAAACAAAAAAAAAAAAAGAATAAATGAATGGGTCCTTAGCACCCAGCACATATGATCTGCTCATGCTCGTAAGGTAAGTACAGATGAAGTCACCCATTGTCTAACATGTCTCCCTTACTTCTATAGCACAGCAAATGCTCATGAAAAGTCTGTTGAAGATATGTGCTGTGCACTGTGTTTGCTGAAAGAATCCTTTTTTGTGGCCCTAGGGCTTTGCAAAGAGCCACAAGACTGAAAAGTGCTTGTGCACTGTGAGCTGATGCAGTGTCCACGGTGCCCACCTGGCCTCGGGCTTGCTCCTGGAGGGGGGCTGGCTGTGTCCAAAGAAAAGAGTATGGGGCTGGGGAGATGGCTCAGTGGAATAAGCGCTTCCCTGGCAAGTGCAAGGGCCTGAGTTCAATCCCCAGCTCAAAAAAAAAGCAGCCTTTTCTTTCCAGGTGTGGCCCCTGGAGACTGACTCAGTCAGGACCAGCACCTGCCCCTTCAAGGACGGTGAGCAGATCACATGAGCATGGCTGGGGGTTGTGCAGGTGGGCAGCAGCTGGCTGCATATGACCCTTGTCTTTTGCCACAGATCCTCGAGCACATAGGAACCTGTGGAGAGCAGCCCGCCTGCAGCTACTGTCCCCAAGGAGTTGGTGGCTGGATGCCCCATGCTCCCTGCCTGCGGAGGTGATACTGTGTTGGCAGTCACCAGGCGGGGTCCCCTGTCAGCCACTGATCCCACCACTGCCACTGGGGAATGTCACTATGAATGTAAGCCAGGCAGAGGGTGGTGCAGAGCCAGGAGTGGGAGGGCACCCAGGGTGACTCTTTCCAACCTTACCACTCTCTGCTTTCCACAGAAGGCCATTGAGTTCCCTGTGCTGAAAGGCCACCCCAACCTCTGCGTCCAGGTCAGAAGGGGGACAGAGAGGGGTGGGATCAGGGGAGGAGGCCACAGACTCCTCTAGTTTGTTTATTTGGTTTTTTTGTGGAACTAGGGATTGAACTCAGGCCCTTGCGCTTGCCAGGGAAGCGCTTATTCTACTGAGCCATCTCCCAGGCCCCAATTCCTCCAGTTTTGCACCCTCTTTATTCTTGGGTCCTAGGGCATAGTGCTTAGCAGCAGCCTCTTCAGAGTTCCGCTACTTTTAGCCATGCTTGGGATCCCTAGAGGAGTCACATCATCCCTGGAATTTGTCTCAAGGAGATAATAATAGGTACTTCTGGCAGTTGCTATGAAGAGGAATGAGAGAAGTGCTTGCCTTTGGGACAGGCACAGACTAAATACTACATATGTTAGCTGCTTTGATTATTGCTATCACTAGCCTATTTTCCCACCTGTGGAACAGGTTATAACATCATAGATTATAAAATCATACATTCAAGTTTTATGGAGCATCTACTTTGTGCCGGGCACTATCTTAGACTCTTAGTTCTCTGTCTTCAGAGAACCTATGTTCTAATGGAGAAAGGCAAACAATTTAAAAAAAAGGCAAATACAAAATAATAATAATTTTTACACAGTATTTAATTATAGAGTTAAAATAGCCTTTGATTAAAAAGTGCTATTTTAATTAGTCTGCTTCCATTGTACACAAACACCCCAAGAAAGATGGAGGGGCAATGGAAGACTGGGATTTCGATTTTAGGTGGGGTGGTTGGGGAGA